ATAAATATTGAAAACTAAAATCTGTTATAATTAGTTAGCATAATTAGAAAATAAAATTACAATCATATACATGTTGTTTGGGGTTGGGGTCAGTTTTGGTATCTGTATTATTCCTTGACTTGTTTCAGTTTTAATTGTATTTAATTCTTCTTCTGTGGTGTTTGTCCTGCTCTTGTCAGAGAGAAAGCTAATCTGGCTGTGACTGTGTTCAACGATCAGAACCAGATCTTGGCCCATGCCTCCTTCTGTGACTATCCTGCAGCAGAACTGGTGGATCAGGGTCTCTGGGAATCCTTTCTGCACAACCACTTCAGCTCTGACAGCTGCACGGTTGGTTTAATCTAATTCATCTAATTAAAATGTTTAGAGCCCACAGAGGTTCAGTGTGCTGGGTTTGGGTCTCTGTAGCTTTTAGATGTGTCAGGTCCATCAGACCTAGACCATGGAGCGATGGAAGCAGGTGGTCTGGTCCCATGGATCAGGTTTCCATCATGTGTACCTGGCTTGTGACCTAAAAAAAATTTGCCTCAGAAAACCTCTCAGAAGTAACTGCCCCAGCAGCAGCATAGCTCCTAGAATCAATCAGACACATAGACTCCTCTATGATAAGGTAGCTTATAATGTGTGGTCCTAATGTTGTATTGTGGTCAAAATGTTGTAATATGTGGTCATAATGTTGTAATGTGTGATTATAATGTTGCAATGTAAGGTCATACATAATGTTGTAGTGAGGTCATATTATAATGTGTGGTCATAATGTTGCAATGTGTAATTATAATTTTGTAATGTGTGGTCATAATGTNCATAATGTGGTAATGTGTGGTCATAATGTGGTAATGTGTGGCCATAATGTGGTAATGTGTGGTCATAATGTGGTAATGTGTGGCCATAATATTGCAATGTGTGGTAATAATGTTGAAATGTATGGTCATAATGTTGTAATGTGTGTTCATAATGCTGTAATGTCTGGTCATAATGTTATGCCAGGTTAGTTTGGCTCTAAATAGGTAAGTGCTTTCCAAAGTCTGGGTCAGGGCCCCCCTGAGGGTCCTGAAACACCAAGCAGCTGGTCTGAACTTCCTGTTTGTTTGCTCTGCAGCCGGTGAACACACTCTTCCTCCACCTCTTGGTGTCTCAGGCTGGTGTCTCTTCATCGTGTGCTAAGCTAATAATCAGGTTTGTAATAACTACAGTATGTCTGGTGTCTGTTAGCTGATGCTTGCTAACCTGTCTTCTGCTCACAGGACGGTCTTTTCTGCTGTTGCTGAACTGGATCATATCTGCCTGCTTTGCCCAAATGTGACTGCTTTAGGTCAGTGCTTTCCAAAGTCTGGGTCAGGGCCCCCTGAGGGTCCTGAAACACCAAGCTACTGGTCTTCAGAAGATTTACAGGAATCTATTTATCTTTGATAATCTCTAATAATCTGGGCTTAACTGTATTATATAAAATCTGTAGTAACAAATAGAAAAATTACAGAAGAGGTCGTTTGTTGAAGAGATCATGTCTTTTTGGTTTTTCAGCAAGATTCTGCAGCTTTTTGTCTTTGATGTTTGTGTGCAGGACCGGACCTGGATCAGATCTTTAAGCCTCTGCAGCGTTTGACCGATCCTGGACCTCCATGTTCAGCTTTTATCTGCCACAGAGAAGATCACGCTCCACGGCTCCGAGTTCGCCCCGCCAGGTGAGTTCAGTCCAGGTTTGGCCACCAGAGGGCAGAAGAGTTTGTATAAAACATGGAGGAATTTATAACAACTGGAGTGCTCAGAAACAAAGTGAGCGAGTGATCGGCTGTAGAAGCTAAGGGCTAACACAAAACCGTCAGGAGTCTGGATTACCATTACTGTACATGTTGGCAACATAACAGAAATAAAGGACTGACGATGTAGAAATCATTAAAACTATTAATAATAATATTAACAAGATTATTGTTAACATTTTATATTTTATATTATCTATCTAATGTTTTAAATAATGCCAGAAGCTGTTTGTGTTATGGATTTATTAACAGAAGATAAACAGGAAAACGTCTCATTT